GCCTCCACCGACAGGCAGCACAAACTTGCCGGACAAGTGAGTGAGGCACTTTAGAAATGGATCCTCCAGCCCCAGCCATGCCTTCAGCTTCCTACGGCTCCAGCTGACATCTGACTACAAGCACCTGAAAGCACTCTCCCCTCCAACGATGAGAACTCTGCAGCCTAGCCCTTCCCGAATTCCTGGTAAAACAGAAATCATGAGAGAAAATAAGGGAATATGCCTTAAACCACTACATGTTGGCGTGATTTATTACAAATTATTGGAGTAACTGAATCAACACTAGTCACCTACTTTATTTATTCCACAAACTTTTACTAAGCATCTATTATGTGCCAGGCCCTGTGCTAGGCTGGGATACAAAGATGTAAAAGACACAGTTGTTGCTCTCAATTCTGTGGGAATATAGATGAGCAAATATAAATAATGATACAAGATGTTATGACAAAATGTCATGACAGGACAAAAAAAAAGGAATGATTTTTGTTCTTTTGTTAATAAGATGAGTTTTAGAGTTACTCATTCTCTCAATAAAAATGTATTTATTGCTTCCTAGGAACCAGTCACTGTGATCTGCGATAGACACTGGTGAAAATATGGTGAACAAGACACACCCCTGCTCTCAAGGTTAATAGCAAAAGCTGAGGAGATAACACATTGGAGGAAAGCTAAAACTAGGTAATCAACTTTGCCATATGACCTTGGTGAGAGCAGTTTCTGTAAAATGGCAAAAATAAAGAATTAGATTAGAAAGAGGAAGTAGAGGCTGCTAGTGTAGGACATATACATTCCCCCCACCCCCAGAATGTTAGTAGTAGAGAAAAGGAGAGAGAAAGGTCAAGAGCTTGATTCTCCTTCTTGCCTGGGCATTGCTCTTGCTTCCATTAGCTCTACTGGTTTCATCACCCTGCTGCTCACTTCCTCTTCTTCAATGGTGAGCAGACCAGGATCACTGGAAGGGTTGGCTCTTCCCATGAGAACTGACTGGGCGGCATTTGCCACGGTGAATTCAGCAAGGCAGAGAGGCTGCTCTCGGCCACACAATCTCAGAATCTCTAGCATCTCATTGTTTTGAGTTGATCTGACTTGAGGGTGTTCACTGATATTAACAGAGCTCTTCAAAAAGACTAGTCCGTAAAACCAGAATACCAATTCTTAATTCATGATGAGAACTGTAACTGGCAATCCCTAGTGTATGTATGAGTGTCTGCTTATCAGGCTTCATGAATGTCCCCTCCACATTCATATGTTGAAATCCTAGCCCTTAGTCTGATAATATTAGGAGGTGAGGACTTTGGGGAGTGATAAGGGCATGAGGGAGGAGCTCCAATGAATGGGATTAGTGCCCACATAAAAGACACCCCCCCCCCAGAGAGCTTTCTCACTCCTTCCATCATATGAAGACACAGTGAGAAAATGGCCATCTATGGACTGGGATACAGACCCTACCAGATATCAAACCTGCCAGCATGCTGATCTTAGAACTTTAGCCTTCAGAACTGTGAGAAATAAATGTTCATTGTTTAAGACACCCAGTCTATGGTATTTTTGTTATAGCAGCCCACACTAACACAGTGAGCATGAAATTAAACCCATAGACAATATAGAATTCAAATGTTTAAAGATCTTCAGGTCCCAAAGCCTGCAGTTTCCTCTTGCCTGTGATGGGGCATGGAAGAGTATGTCCCCTAGCCCAGGCACTGTTCTATTTGGCACACTGTGCCTCTTAGACTCTATTTTTTTTCTGAGGATTCATCAATGATCACACTGTTTATGAGTGGCTTATTCAGGGAGGATATTCCAAATCCCAAGTGGAATGCCAGCAGGAGGGCTGAGGGCCTGGATGCCCCCTGCTCCGCCAACTGCTGGGTTGTGGGGAGTTTCAGGGTGGCTGAGAGAGGGGAGGAGCACTGAGGTATTGGGGTCATGACTATGTAACAACTGGCTGCACTATTTCGATGTTTAAGTACTGACAGGCTCACTAACCATCTTCTTCGTGTATGTGAGTACCTTGAACAGGGGACATGTTCCCTTGAAATTCTTGGAGCCACTCCTCTTTTTGGTAATCACTCATTCAATCTGAGTCCATTTAATGTTGAATCAAAATTCAGGTCTCAGAGGAAAACTCTATTCCCAAGTCCTTGAAGATACTTCATTGCTTAGAAACATAAATTGGCAAATGGGTTGATTTTTTTCTTCCTCTGAGCCTTCTATAAGAGGTGATACATTATACGCACTTTTAAATGCTTTCTAATGAATACTTAGATGAAGGGACAAACAAGCCTAAACTAGTAGTTGTTTGTTCATTTAAACTGATACCCATTAGTTTTACCAAAAGTTTGTTAACAAAAACTGTTCGTACAAAGATAATTCACCAATTTACTTGTCATTGGTATCTGTTAGCAGTCCATAGACTTAACTACAATACATTCATTAATGTCAATAATATGATATCTGTAGCTATCTTTACAGTTATGAAAACAGAAGCGGTGATTTTTGTTTTGAGTTTCAAAAGCGTAGCAAAAATGAACATTTCCTTAAGTGTCAATGAAATAAACGTTTAATTCTGTCTATGCTGTAGATACAATCATTCAGAAATCACTGGGAGGTCACAGACAGAGCCCAGTCTGATCTGAGGGCCATGAGCCACAGCTCCCAAGTATAAGAAAATAAACATATTTTTAACTAAAATAATTATTAAATCATCTTGTCATTTTTCCTGCCAAAGTAATTGCATGAATCATTGGTCTTGACCAACACTTCTATCCATATAATATTGCATCTAGTAATCCATTTAAATGGAAACTTTTCTCTTTAAGTTCTTCTTTTATATTTTGTAAAATAGAAGGAACAAAAACTCAAGAGTGTAATAGAGTTAGCATTTTAGAGTTGTGGAAATGTATATGGAAAAATTCCCAAAAAGACGTTTTTCAAGGTTCTACTTTAATAACTAAAAATGCCATTCCTAGGATCTCATAGTAACAATCAGTCTGCAATGTGTATAATGCCCAAAATGAAGGGATTTCTCAGTGAATATTAATTGATGATGATTGAGATTATTACATGAAATGTTTGAAAGTGAGAAGAAGCAAAACTGGATAAATTCAATAGAAGAAATTGACCCAGAAGTGTTAATACCACCTATTAAGTCAGTTGTGCCCAGAGTATTTTAGTAGTTTTTCAGAAAAATAGAAATGTTCTGTTGTGCAGGTTGGTTACAAACCCGGAGGATGAAGATAGGAGTGACGATTAAGGTAGGAAATAGAATTTTGCAATCCCCTTCCAGCCAAGTCCTAAGGGACCTTACTTCAATACCTAACATTCTTTTTCCAACATTGTTAATCTCTCCTTCTCCACAGGCTCTACCTTTACACACACACACACACACACACACACACTTACCTAGCTTTAAAAAAATAAACTTGATCAGATGCTTCCTTAGCTACTATTTATATTTTTTTAATTCTTCCATTCACTACCAAACTTCTACAAATGACAAGTGATCTGTATGTTTCCACAGTCCCATTATTTACCCCCTCCCAAACTGTATCCATTCCCCACTGCTCTACTGAAACTGCTACAAGTTATTGCATAAACTTCATGATCTCTGTGATGTTGTCATTCTGCTCACTGTATTTATCACTTGGGTGACATATTCCATCTTTAAACCTTTTGCTCCACCACTTTCAGGATTCCACACTGTCCTGGTTCTCCTCACATTACCTCCAAATCTTTCCTTAATTCTCTTCTCATTTCCTTTGATATTTGTTCTTTTTTCCCTCCGTACTGCCTCCCTTAGGAAATACATCAGTTAGCACAATGTCCACTCTAAAAATTCTAACCTCCCTGATGATGGCCACCATTCTATATCTACAGCCTTGTCCTCTCATGGGAGTTCTACTGTTGGCCAAAAAGTCTGGAATTGAAACTTCTTATTTTATTTTTTCACTGGTTGAACTCTCATGATTGCTTCTTCTTGGATAAGTTAAAGGCTTATTAGTGAAAATCAGAGATACAAATTTTCTGAGGAAATGCATGACATATATGTGCAGGAATTGATGGAAATGCTGCATTTTTTACCACATTCATTGCAATTTTGCATCAAATATGCATTGCTCAAGAGGAATAATACATTGAGTATATCATATGATGTCACTGTATATTGTATAACATAATATTCTAAACCATTTATTATGCATGTTCGCTTATGTTTCCAGACTTTATGGCCACCCTATACTTCTGTACCTTTGAATGAATACTACACAATTCCTCTTGGATATTTCCTATTATCTCAAAGTCTCAGGGTCATTTATTTAAAGAATAACATTGTTGAGTATCAGGTGCTGTTCTAGGTACTAGGATACATAAGCCCTCTCTAAGATAACCTAATCTAAACTCATGATCTTTTTTTCTAAAACTAGTGGCTTTACCAACTTTGCTGCCATTGCCCCCACTTTCCCTGTGATTACCCAAATTAAAAATCTTTGAATGACACTTGATAATTTTTTTGTTTATTTCTTGTATTCATAAATCTATATATTGAATTATTTTTTTCTTTAAAATGGTTGTCCTATCCATCTGTTCCTTCATGTTTCCATGGCATATTGTCACAATGCTAGTTTAAGCCCTTAACACTGTAAACCTAGATTACTTCAATAGTCTCCCACTTTTTCTTTCTGATTCTACCCACTCTCCTTCTTCCAGTTCATGTAGTATATCTTTGCCAGACCAATCATCCATAAATTCCATTGAAAATATCCCTTCATTCCCTGCTCAATACCTTCAGTGTGCCCCCATATTGTTAAGATGGGAGGTTGGCTTTGCTGGTTTGTCTTTCTCTCTCACTCAAGTTTATGAATGCCTACTCTCAGTACGTCTGTCTTCTCATGGACACCTTGGGTTAGGCAAATAATTCTTAGATGTGAAACCAAAATCACAATCCACAAAACTTGTAAAAACTCATAAATTAGTCTTTATCAAAATTTAAAACTTTGGGGCACCTGGGTGGCTCAGTTGTTAAGCGTCTGCCTTCAGCTCAGGTCATGATCCCAGGGTCCTGGGATCGAGTCCCACATCGGGCTCCCTGCTCCACGGGAAGGCTGCTTCTCCCTCTCCCACTCCCCCTGCTTGTGTTCCTGCTCTCACTATGTCTCTCTCTGTCAAGTAAATAAATAAAATTTAAAAAAAATTTAAAACTTCTACTCTGTAAATGATACTACTAAGAAAATGAAAAGACAATTTACAGATTGGGAAAAATATTAGTAAATTACATATCCAAAAAAAAAAGGACTTGTATCCAGAATATATAAAGAACTCTCAAAATCCAACTATAATAAAACAAACAATACAATTTTTAAATGAGCAAAATATTTGAATAGATACTTCACCAGAGAAAATATATAGATGGCCAAATGGCAGATAAGCAAATAAAAAGATGCTCCATATCATTACCTATTTATGACTAATGCAAATTAAATTTTTGATAAGATACCATTACCTACCCGTGAGAATGGCAAAAATAAATGAACAAACAAACTACTGATAATACCAAGTGCTGATGAGGATGCAAAGCAACTGGAACTCTCATATACTTCTCATAGGAATCCAAGATGATACAGACAGTCTGAAGCAGGTTGGCAATTTCTTATAAAGTTAAAAATACATTTACCATATGACTCAGCAATCCTATTTAACCTGGAGAAATAAAAACTGTGTTTATAGAAAAAAACCTGTACATGAATGATTATAGCAATTTCATTTATAATCACCAAACATGGAAATAATCTAAATATTTATCAATAGGTAAATAGATAAGCAAGATGTGGTATATCCATGCAATGGAAAACTACTCAAGAATAAAAAGGAACAAAATATTAATAAACAAATAATATGGAAGGATCTCACAGACTATATAATGAGTGAAAGAAGTTAGTTTTTAAAATGTTGCATACTGTATGACTCCATTTAACTAACATTCTGAAAAAGGCAAAACTACAGAAATTGATAGGGAGGAAGAACAGATGAGTGGTTGCCGGGGGTTAGGGGTGAAGGGGAGTGATGGATAAACAGAGATAGTACTAGGGAAATTTTAGCGGTGTTGGAACCGTTCTATATCCTGATTGTGTTAGTGATTATGTGAATCTACACACATGTTAAAATGCATAGAATTGTATAGCAAAAGAGTTATTTTTTTTAGATTTTTTTTAAATTTATTTATTTGACAGAGAGATAGAGAGCACAAGTAGGCTGAGTGGCAGGCAGAGGGAAAGGGAGAAGCAGGCTCTCTGCTAGGCAGCCCAGCGAAAGAGTTACTTTTATTGTTTGTTAATTTAACAAAATTTTAAGAGTGATAAAAATAATAAAAACTTGAATTAAGTGGCTGCATATAATTCCAAAACCATCTTTTTTGTCATTTAGGTTTCTTAGAATGTTTTGCTATTAAAAACAACCCTGAAACTAATGTTAATAAATGTATTTAATAAAAAATATACTTATAGTAGTTACAAATGGTATAGTCCTCTTTTTAAATGATACTTTCTTTGTAAATATATTGATTTACAATATATTGTAAATATATCTTTCAATAAAGGATGAAGAACGCAAAGGGGTTGCAAATGTTCAATAAACATTTTTTAAGTAGCTATAAAATGCACCAAGTGATATTTGTAACTTTTATGGGTTAAAGGTAATAATTATGGGACAGAAACAATGTGCATAGTACTAGGTAATAAAACAGTAATTATGATAGTGCTTATAATAGGTATAAACTAAAGGATCAATTGTAGGCATAAAGACCATCATATAAGTTGGTTAAAAATGTTATGCTAAACATTCAGGGAAGATAAAGATTATAAAGATAACCTACCTGTACCTATTTGAGGACATGCCATTGTGGAGAAATGCCAGGTGATTCAGCTAGCAGAAGGATTTCTATGAATCTGCTTATACAGGTCTTCCCAACACAGAGACTTGTACAACATTGAAAATCATGAAATATCAACCTACAGGACACCCTTGAGCTCCAAATGGTTAAGATACAGGGATTTTCCATAAAAACTCAATATACTCTATATTCTAATATGCCTTACTCTCTGTAAAACATTCAATATGTATTTATTAGATACATTTGCATTAGTCTACTACAGGAAAAATAAAGCTAAGTAAATGAATCAGGTCCAATTTGTGAAGAAAAGAGAAGGCCTGATGTGCAGGGAGATAGAATGTCAATATGGTGGCTGACATCCTAGATGCCAAAGAAGCTTCCATTATATTCCTGGATTGCATGCAAAAGAGATATGGAAATGACACATTTTTAGGATAGTTCATTGAAGCTATAACCAAATCTGTCTGCTCTAAACTGGACATCCAACTAACACAGGCCAATTATGAGTGTACTTGCCAACATAGGGCAGCTATGAGCTGACTGTATAGAGTGTGTGTGTATGTGTATTATGTGTGCACAGTTGAAATTCTTTTTATTCGTACAAATGTAAAAATCAAATATTTGGCCCAGGGACATAGAGAGCTTAAAAACATGTCACTTGTTTGTCATTCATGACAAAAAACCTGTCCAACTGACTGCAAGTTCATCACTTTTCTTGAACCCATCAGACAGCTGAGGTCATAGGATAACCAATTAGCCCCAAATCTAAGAAGAGACAGACATTTGCAGGGAAAGACTAGACATGGCCAGTTGCTTACCTAGGACAGACACAATCAGACACTGGTTGTGAAAGAACTCAGCCAGAATAGTTCATGAACTTGTAGAGCCTGAATGGAGCTCATAGGAGAATGTGGAGCCCTTTGAAGATGCAGGTATGGGAGAGTTTGCAACCCTCTTGCAGACTCTTCTCCATGGACCCCACCTAGAACACACTGAGAAAGCATCCCTGACCATGGAGGACTGAAAAGCCAAATAGCAGTATCTGCTAAAGGGATAAGAAACCTCGAGTAGGACCTTTCTCCTTTATCTTGCTTATAGAACAAACGTTTTAAGCTATTAGGGAATAGGTAACAAGCACTGTCATCCTTAGGACACTGATGAAAACCCATTGCAGCTGAAGAGAGGAATAGAAAATAACCTTCTACCTCTAGTTCCAGTTTGCCTAGGATGGACATGGGACTTTCAGTGTTAAAACTGGGAAAGTCCCTAGCACACTGGGAGGAGGTGGTCATCCTAACCCTAACCTAGGTAAGGCTCTAGAATATCTCTTGGGGCCACAACTAAGGTGAAAGGAAGAACAGGAGGACAGGGAAGATCACACCCTACAGACACAGTGCCTACCTAAGGCTGAGTCTTAATAATAATGGAGAACTCCCACTCCCCCACCACCAGACTCACAAGCTTTGTAACAAGTGACAGTGGATATTGCTGGAAGAAGGCCAAGAGAGTGGAGAGACAGACCCTCTCTGAGGTACAGCACAAAGGGAAGACCTAACTGAGGGTGGAGCAAACACTGTGGCAGTGGGGGAGGGGGGAGGGAGACTACCAGCAAACTATCCCCCAACTGACATGCAAGAGTCGCTAATGGAATTTGATCCCCGTGGTGAACTGAGGGCAAGCACTGCAGCTAAGGAAGGTAATGTCAAACTCAGCCCAACTCCTAACTCAAATTCACATGCTAAAATTCTAGCAGAAGGACAGGTATATTCATTTTCAGGCATAAAAACTATTTGCCACAGCTCTACTGTCCTGGACAAGGTGTTTGGCTTTAAAACAAAAAATTATGAGGCATATGAAGAGGTGAGAAAAAACAACACACTGTCAAAAAATAAAGGAATTCACAGAACCAGACTCAGATATGACAGAGATGCCAGAACTACCTGATGGGTAATTTAAAATAACTATGAGTATTATTATAAAGCTCTAGTGGAGAAGGAGAACAACATGCAAGATCAGATAGGTAATTTCAGCAGAGAGATGAAAAGTAATAAGCAAGTATCAATCAAATTGAAATGTAAGAAGCGAAAACCGCAGTAACAGAGGTGAAGAATGCCTTCAGTGGGCATCAGTAGACTTAACAAAGAATCAGTGAACTTGAAGATTGGTCAATAGACATGACCTAAACTGAAACACAAGGAGGAAATAATTTTAAATCTCCTAGGTATTCACTCTAGAGAATTGAAACGTGTGTTCACACAAAAACCTATACATGAATGTTTATCATATCTCTATTCACAATCACTCCACTGGAAACAACCCAATATTTTTTAATCAGTGAACAGATGAACAAAGCATGGCACATCCACACAATGGAATACTATTCAGTGATAAAAAGGAATGAACAGTTGATACTTCCAACAACATCATGGATCTCAAGTATATTTTGCCAAGTGAAAGCAACCAGATCCAAGGACCATTTTTATATGATTCTCCTTATATAACTTTCTGAAAATTGCCAAAACAGAGACATAGCAGATGAATGGTTGCGAGGACTTGGCAAGGGGTGGTATCTACAAAGGTGCAGTATACAGGAGCTTAGGTGATAATAAAAGTACTCTCTATCATGTCTAGTGGTAGGTTCATGGATTTAAGCATTTGTCAAAACCCAAAGAATTATACCCCAAAATGAGTGAATTTTACTCTATATAAAGTGAACAAAAACATAACAGAATGTGGGGGGTATACCAAAATGGAATATAAGCTCTAACAAAAGTTACTAACCTAACCTATGAATAACATTACCACACTAACAAAGATGGAGAAGAAAAGAACTAACCTAAGAAACTTTAGAAAGCAATATTTTGATCAAATGCTATTAAGAGTAAAGACAAAAATTATTATACAAATATATTCTAGTTGGTAAAAGTAAATGTGTTTCTCACAGAGATACGACTTAGCAGTTCTGAACCTACCTGTGTATACTAAGATTAAACAATAGCAAAAAAGAAATATATTGTAGAAGAACAGAGAACTCCCATTAAATTCAACAAAAGCTGACCATCACCAAGGCATATCATAGTCAAATTCACAAAATACACCAACATGGAAAGAATCCTGAAAGCAGCAAAAGAAAAAAAAAAGTCCTTAGCCTACAAGG